AGACCAGCCTGACCAACATGGAGAAACCCCGTCTCTACTAAAAATACAAAAAATTAGCCGGATGTGGTAGCGCATACCTGTAATCCCAGCTACTCGGGAGGCTGAGGCGGGAGAATCACTTGAACCTGTGAGGCAGGAGGTTGCGGTGAGCTGAGACTGTGCCATTGCGCTCCAGCCTGGGCAACGAGCAAAACTCAGTCTCAAAAAAAAAAGAAAGAAAAAACCAGTGCAGGAAAGAAAGTACTGGAGTGGGTGTTCAGGGATGGGCTCTCTGAAGTGACATTTGAGCTGGGGCCTGAAGGACATGATGGTGGGAGCCAGAGGGATGGTACCTGGAGGAGGAGTTCCAGGCAGAGGCGACAGCACACGGAGAGATGCTAAGGAGGGAGCCCTCTGCTTTGCCTCTGAACCTTGGTTTCCGCATGTATATAGTGAGGAGCATCCAGGTGCACTGGCCCGCAGGGTTGCTGTAGGGAGGAGGGAGGGAGGCTCTGCTCTATGCAATGCCTGGACCCAGCCGTGTGTGAGGAAAACAGCGGGAGCTGAGAATCAGAATCAGGAGCAAGGGAGGAGAGTGGCAGGCACTCCGCAGACCCTGACCCAGCAGATGCCATGGAATCTTGACTCAGATGCTGCGGGGCGGGGAGGGCCTTTGGAGGGTGGGAACCTGGAAGGAGAAGCTGCTGGAAATGCTGAGGCCCTGTTGCCTCCTGGGCAGTGTCGGGGCAGCAGGAACTTTGTTATGTGGAGTTCTCCTCATACGGCTGGCTCTGCCAAGCTGCCCTTCTCCCTGAAATGTGCCTCATAGGAAATGGGGTTTCGGGAGCTTCCCGGAGAACATGAGAGGGCAGTGCCCAGGGGCCCCTCTTCCCATTGCTGGGTGGCGTGGTGGAGAGAACCCAGCTGTGACTCTCGATGTATGACCTTGGATGTGATTTAGCCTCTCTGGGCCTTGGCCCCGCTGAATCATGTGATCAGAGCACCAAGCCTGCCTCCCACGCTGGTCTGAGCTGCTTGAGGGCCATCTAGGTCCTCCTTGTCCCAAGCCAGAGGTCGCCTCTCCCAGGCTAAGCCGTGGCTGTGGGGATGGCGGTACAGCACCCGGACTTTGGAACACAATACTGGCCACTCTTGGCTGCTGATCTTGACCCTCTATCTCCCCCTTTGTGAATGGGGGGAGTGACAGCATCTTTTGAAGTGTACAGCACAGGAGAGGCGCCAAACCACTGAGTCAGACCCTCCTCTGACTGCTTCTTAGCTGTGTGACTTTGGACAAGCTCCTTGCCCTCTCTGTGCCTCAGCTTCCTTGTTGGTAAAATGTGGATTACATTAGCACCTACCTTGTAAAGTCGTGAAGAGGACTGAGATAATCTGTGTAAAGGTTTTAGCACATAATCTGTGCTCAGGAAATATGAGTTGGGGTATCATGGCCTCAAAGAGGGGTTAGGAGGACTAAAAGTAGACCATTGAGCTGACAGCCTGGTCCATTTTAGCTCAGTGGGAGGATGAGGTCTGGGGGTAAAGTGTACTTAATCCCTGCCTTCCTATGGCCTACCAGGAACTTCATGCCCAACCCAGCCAGGGCAGGGGAACCAAGTAAACCCCTTCACCTCTTTGATCTTCAGTTTCCTCCTCTGTGCTCACATCCTAGGTAGGGAGCAGTAGAGGCAACATTGATAAAGGGCCTGATGCCCCTAGTGATGCCTCTGATGCCCCTAGTGGCTGCTCTTCCAGCAACAGGTCAGGTGGCCGCAATGACAGCAATAGTCCCTAACGGACTGAGCATCTGCTGTGTGCCAGGACTATGCTACAGCTTTTATGTGCATTTTCTGGTTGAATTCTCAGAACAATCCCGTAGATAGTAGAGCTGTTATCCCATTTTACACGGCACTTAAGCGGTACAGCTGGGCTTTGAACCCAGGCAGCCAGGCTCTGGAGCCCATAAGCGTCAGTTCTTGTCCTCACCCATGGCTGGGTTTGGGCTACGGCCAGGCTGATCTCTTCCCTGGGTCCCATCCTCACTCCCCCAGATCAAAGAGCCAGCTGAGAAGCAAAAGTTCTTCCAGGAGCTGAGCAAGAGCCTGGATGCGTTCCCTGAGGATTTCTGTCGGCACAAGGTGCTGCCCCAGCTGCTGACCGCCTTCGAGTTCGGCAATGCTGGGGCCGTTGTCCTCACGCCCCTCTTCAAGGTGAGTGGAGCTGTGGGACCCAGAAGGCTGGCTAGGTGCACAGGAACTGCCAAAGAGAAGGCCCTGGGGTAGGGCAGCCTGGTTAGGGCAGACCCAAGCCCATATGTGCAGGAGCTTCCTGCCAGCGTCTATAAACAGGCACCTGACCAGCTGTGCCCTGGGGAGGAGAGACTCTGCCCCTAAAATCCTTTTCCCACAAACTTCTGGTTTCACAACCCTCAGCCCTTCCTCCATTTCCCTGGGTCTGACCTGTGCACCCTGGTTCCCAGGGCCCAGGGGATTACCTACTCACCACCCCACTTTGCCATCTCCCTCCTGACTGCTTAGCACTCAGCTCACCTGACTTCTGGGGGCTGGATCTTCCACCCCTTCCTCAGACCCCAGCCCACCTTTTTTTGGGCACCGGCCAGTCCCTGCCCTCCTCACCTTGGGGAGAACCCTTTCACCTGAAAGTCTTGCCAGGAGGGGAGAAGACAACAAGCAAGTCCTGTATAGCTAAGAACCCCCAGAAATTGCAGGCAGAATTTCTGCATATGGCATAAAGGTACCTCCTTGTAGGGGGTGGCCCAGAGCTTTCATCAGAGGCTGTGGCCCAGAAAGGTTAAGGGCAGGGCGGAGATGGAATATGGGCAGAGGAGCTGCTGAAGAAATGCCTGCCTCCCACTCTGCCATCACTTCGTTCCCATCCTGGGATATCAGCCCCAGGAATTTAGATGAGCCCAGCAAAGTCAGCCCATTCCTGTGAGTGGCCGAATCCTTCTTTCTGCCCTTTCAGGTGGGCAAGTTCCTGAGCGCTGAGGAGTATCAGCAGAAGATCATCCCTGTGGTGGTCAAGATGTTCTCATCTACTGACCGGGCCATGCGCATCCGCCTCCTGCAGCAGGTGAAGCCTCTACCAGACTCCACGGTGGTCCACCCCACCCAGACCCTACCCTGGCTGCTGGGGAGGCACCTGCCCTGGCTGCACAGGGACCCCAGAAACCCCACCCCTGAACATATACAGAAGTGAGGGAATCCCTGAGGCCAGGCTCTCAGGAAGTTGGCCACATACAGGGCTCCTTGGCAGCTTTGGGAATGGCCAACTGCCCAGGCTGCAGCACTCTAATGCCCCCTCCTCTCCTGGCTCAATCACTCTAGCCCTCTAGAGTGGGGATACAGTCTCTCTCCTGCCAACCCCAGGGCAGCTGGGAGCATCAGACAGGATGGATGGGGTCTAGGAAGTACCAGTGGTTCCCAGTGCCATTCCCTCTGCAACCACCAAACCCACCAGTCCTCCTCATGGCGCTGTGGGCAGGCGGGGAGGAGCAGGGCAGGGGTGGTACCCTCGTTTATAGAAGAGGCTCAGGCTGGGCGTGGTGGCTCATGCCTGTAATCCCAGCACTTTGGGAGGCCAAAGTGGGCAGATCACCTGAAGTCAGGAGTTCAAGACCAGCCTAGCCAACATGGTGAAACCCCGTCTCTACTAAAAATACAAAAATTAGCCAGGTATGGTGGTGGGTGCCTGTAATCCCAGCTGCTCGGGAGGCTGAGGCAGTAGAACCGCTTGAACCTGGGAGGCAGAGGTTGCAGTGAGCCGACATCGTGCCACTGCACTCCAGCCTTGGCGACAGAGCGAGACTCCATCTCAGAAAAAAAAAAAAAAATAGAACAGGCTCTGAGAGGGTGACCAGATGAGCCAGACTATGAGCCAGGCTTTCCTAGCGCCCTCCTGGCCTCTCCTCACTCCACCTGGGCCTGAAGCCAAACACCTGGGTAGGGGCTCAGGAGGTTGACCTGGCTGGCCAGTGCCTGCTGGGTGGAAAAGCTAAGCCAGGAGTGGTTCCATGGCTGTGGGGATAGAGTGGGAGGGGCTGACCATGTTGACACATCCCAACTTGGGCCACAGATGGAGCAGTTCATCCAGTACCTTGATGAGCCAACGGTCAACACCCAGATCTTCCCCCACGTTGTACATGGCTTTCTGGACACCAACCCTGCCATCCGGGAGCAGACGGTCAAGGTGGGTGTGACCAGGCCCAGAGTGGCTACCCCTGGTTTTCCAAGGCTTGGAGGGGCTCACCCTAGACACAGAGGCCTTGGCTTTGGCCCATAGGTCCAAGCAGGCACTGTCCTTGCTGTGTGGGTTCATGCTGTGGGTGCAGCTCCGCAGCTGGCGGAGAGGGGTGCAGGTCCTCCATTCAGCAGACAATGAGCACCTGCCTGTTCCTGGCCCAAGCCCCATGCTGGGAGGCAGCGTGCATGAGGTGCCCAGCCCCCTGCACTCATGGAGCTTCCTTACCAGGGCACAGAGAGTGGGCTTGCCAGACAATATAACAGAATTAGAACACATGTATTGTTGGCCGGGCGCGGTGGCTCACTCCTGTAATCCCTGCACTTTGGGAGGCTGAGGCGAGCGGATCACCTGAGGTCAGGAGTTCAAGACCAGCCTGACCAACATGGCGAAACCCTGTCTCTACTAAAAAATACAAAACCAACTGGGCATGGTGGCACATGCCTGTAATCCCAGCTACTCAGCAGGAGACTCAATTGAACCTGGGAGGCAGAGGTTGCAGTGAGCCAAGATCATGCCATTGCACTCCAGCCTGGGCAACAAGAGCGAAACTCCGTTTCAAAAAAAAAGAAAAGAAAATATATATTGTTGGAAAGCGTGGGGAGAAGAGTTTGTGGTTTTAGAAACAATGGTCAGGGGCTGGGCGCAGTGGCTCATGCCTGTGATCCCAGCACTTTGGGAGGCCCAGGTGGGAGGATCACTTGAGCCCAGGAGTTTGAGACCAGCCTGGTCATCGTGGCCAAACCCCATCTCTAAAAAAAATACAAAGGTTAGCCGCATTTGGTGATGCACGCCTGTAGTCCCAGCTACTCAGGAGGCTGAGGCAGGAGAATGGTGTGAACCCGGGAGACGAAGCTTGCAGTGAGCCGAGATCGCGCCACTGCTCTCTAGCCTGGGCCACAGAGCAGGACTCTGTCTCAAAAAAATAAAATAAAATAAAAATACAAAAAATTAGCTGGGCATTGGTGGTGGGCACTTGTAATCTCAGCCACTCAGAGGGCTGAGGCAGGAGAATTGCTGGAACCCAGGAGGTGGAGGTTGCAGTGAATAGATCACACCACTGCACTCCAGCCTGGATGACAGAGTGAGACTCCATCTCAAAAACAAAAAAGATATGGAGACGAGGGTGGCTCTGAGGCTTGTGGCCTGGGCAACTGGAAGGTTAGGAGTTGCTATTTACTGAGAAGCTGATGCAAGCAGGTTGGGCCCTGGGCCCCATCTTGGCTGTTTCTGTTAGGCAGCTGGATGGAGATGTCAAGTTGGCCACTGGTTATGCATGTGTGTAATTTAGGGAAGTCTGGGCGAGGGGTATGTGCCTGGGGGTTGTCAGCTCACAAGAAGGCATTTAAAGCCATGAAATGGCTGAGATCACCTAGGGCAAGAGTGTTAAATATAAAAGAGACCTCAAGATTGGCTCTGAGCGTGTGAACGTTAGAATCTCAGCCAGAGGAGCAGCCAGGCAGGTCAGGAGAACCAGGAGGGGCTGGTGTCCTGGAAGACCAGAGATCAGAGTTTCAGGGAGGGAAAACTCAGGGATGTCAGAACTGCTGAGGGTCAAGTTTGGTGAGGATGGAGAACTGGCCATTGAAATTAGTACCATGGAGGGCGTCAGTGACCCCACCCTGAGCCAGTTTGGCAGAGTGCGGGGCTGTTTGTATGAGTCTAGGTGGAGTGCCATCAGGAGAGCAGAGCAGAGGAAATGGGCGACAGGAGTGCAGACAGACTTTGGAGGTTTTGCCGTAAGAGGGGGACAGAAATGGGGTCCCTTTCCTCAACATGCTGGACAGGGCCAGGGCCAGGGCCAGGCCCAGGCTGGGAGGTGGCCTTGCAGGCTTTGATGGGTGTGCTCTGGGATGAGGGCTGCCAGGAGGCTGTTCCTGCACAAGACTCTTTGCCCACCAAAGCCCACAGTTCCCCTGCTCATTTCTGCCCCACAGTCCATGCTGCTTCTGGCCCCGAAGCTCAACGAGGCCAACCTCAATGTGGAGCTGATGAAGCACTTTGCACGGCTACAGGCCAAGGATGAACAGGGTCCCATCCGCTGCAACACCACGGTCTGCCTAGGCAAAATCGGCTCGTACCTCAGTGCCAGTGTGAGTGTCCTGCACAACTGCTGGAGCCTGGTCCCTGTCGCAGGACCACGGCCTCCTCCAGGGCCAGGAGTCCTGTGTGTGTGGGCCTTCATTCTCCCAGAGACCCAGGCCCTGAACGCTGTTGGTCCCATATCTGGGTTCCCAGAGGTGGAGTGAATTGGCCGAGGTCACACAGCCAGGAGGGTGGATCTGGGATCTGAATCCAGGCCTGCTTGGCCTCCCGGCCTGTGTGCATCCTCTCAGCCAGGGTTTGTAAGTTCAGATGCTTGCTGTGCCCAGACAGTTAACAGGAATGAACAATCAGCTGGGCAGGGAGGAAGGGAGCCTGTGTCCGAGCCCTGGGGACAGCTGCTGTTGTGGTCCCATGCCCTGAGGCAGTGTGGAGCCCAGTGATTTGGGAAGAGAAGCCCAGGTCCAGAGTTTTAGGTAAACTCTCCCCATTTAAGTGATTCATTTACATTTTTCAGATTCTGGGGGCCTACGTGTGGCCCCGTTCTGGGAAGTAAGGGCTGGTGGTTCTGGGCCCCAACACTGACCCTCTACTCAGGAGCCCTCTTTCCTGCCCCATCATAGACCAGACACAGGGTCCTTACCTCCGCCTTCAGCCGAGCCACTAAGGACCCGTTTGCACCGTCCCGGGTTGCGGGTGTCCTGGGCTTTGCTGCCACCCACAATCTCTACTCAATGAACGACTGTGCCCACAAGATCCTGCCTGTGCTCTGCGGTCTCACTGTAGATCCTGAGAAATCTGTGCGGGACCAGGTGAGGCACAGCTGGGCCTGGCCTTGGGCTGGGGCTGTAGGGGATGTCAGGCCCTAGCTGGCCTGGTAGGTTCTTGGGAACCCCAGAGGCCCCAGCTCTGCCCCTTGTTACCCGACAGGCCTTCAAGGCCATTCGGAGCTTCCTGTCCAAACTGGAGTCTGTGTCGGAGGACCCGACCCAGCTGGAGGAAGTGGGTGAGTGGCCTACACTCGTGTTCCTTCTTTCCCTGCTATGTACTTGACAGTGACCTGTTTGTGTCCCACCCCCACTGGAGTTTCTGAAAGGCCCTTGTGAGCAGACTTGACTCAGCTCCCCCTTCACAGATGGGAGAACTCAGGCCTGGAGAAGGGAGTGGCGGCTACAGGGCACTGTCAATTCCTGCTGTCCTGTCACCCATGGGTACCTGACGTGCCCATACCCACCTCTCTCTCATGCCACTGCCCAGAGAAGGATGTCCATGCAGCCTCCAGCCCTGGCATGGGAGGAGCCGCAGCCAGCTGGGCAGGCTGGGCCGTGACCGGGGTCTCCTCGCTCACCTCCAAGCTGATCCGTGTGCACCCCACCACTGCCCCCGCAGAGACCAACATTCCCCAAAGACCCACACCTGAAGGTGAGCGTCCTGGCCTGGCTGCATCAGTGGCTGAGAGGGCTGGGAGCTGCAGGCACCCAGGAACTGTTACTGTCTGACTCCCCCGGGGATGGTGAGGGGAATATAGGGGCTGGGGTAGGCTCTAGTCACCCTGTGGGCTTCCTTGGCACCCCTTCTCCCCAGTAGCCCCCTTCCCCTAGCAGCCTCTGCCCTGTCCCAAGACTCCCCTGAAAGCTCAGTGAGCCTCTGCTCCCCAGGAGTTCCTGCCCCGGCTCCCACCCCTGTTCCTGCCACCCCTACAACCTCAGGCCACTGGGAGACACAGGAAGAGGACAAGGACACAGCAGAGGACAGCAGCGCTGCTGACAGATGGGACGACGAAGACTGGGGCAGCCTGGAGGTGTGTGGGGCTGAGGGAGCCTCCCCAGGGGACCCCAGCTCAAATTCACAGGCTGCCATTCAGGGAGCTTCTGTGGGGCCTGGCTGGAGTTGGCCTGTCCTCATCTGCATAGCATCCCTGGCGCATAGGCTTCATGGAGTGGCCATTGTAGACCAGAGCCAGCAGCAGGCCCCACTCAACCCGTGGCCCCAGGGAGCAGGCTGGGCAGATGGCGCCTGGGGCATTCCCTGGACTTCCTCACTCTCACCCACACCATCCCTTTTCCCCCTCCTCCAGTGCCCACCGAGCCCTGGGGTCAGCAAGGAGAGGCAACTCCTAGGTCTAGAACCAGACCAGTTCTGCTTGGGGCATGGGTTCAGGATGGGCTGAGGGAGGACTCGGGCTGCCCTCAGAATGGGGCAGAGCTGGGGGCCCAATTTCCCCATCTGACTGAGAGCAGCATTTTCTGGCCCCCAAGGCTGTTGGAAGGGGCATCTAGATCTCATTCCCCGGCCTCAGAGGGTTGAAGGCAGGCCAGGGTCAGCGTCCATTTAATATATGGGAAACAGAGCCTGAGGAGCAAATGAGGGGGAAGGCAAAAGACAGTGGTGGGGCCCGTGGCTCGGACGGTGCTGGGGCCGGCTCACTTGCCCTTTAGCATGCGGTGGGAGTCAGTGGTCCCTTCCCACACTGCAGCAGGAGGCTGAGTCCGTGCTGGCCCAGCAGGATGACTGGAGCACTGGGGGCCAAGTGAGCCGTGCTAGTCAGGTGAGCTGGGTCAGGTGGGTGTGTGTGTATGGGGCCCTTTCCTCCCTGGGCCCAGGGCTACTTCCCCTTCCCGCTCTTCTACAGGTCAGCAACTCCGACCACAAACCCTCCAAATCCCCAGAGTCCGACTGGAGCAGCTGGGAAGCTGAGGGCTCCTGGGAACAGGGCTGGCAGGAGCCAAGCTCCCAGGAGCCACCTCTCGAGGGTACGCGGCTGGCCAGCGAGTATAACTGGGGTGGCCCAGAGTCCAGCGACAAGGGTGACCCCTTCGCTACCCTGTCTGCACGTCCCAGCACCCAGGTACCCAGCATGGGTCTGGCGAGAGGGTAGAGATGGTGGGCCTCAGCCCGAAGTGGGCCCCACTGCAGCCCACACTTTTCTTTACAGCCTAGGCCAGACTCGTGGGGCGAGGACAACTGGGAGGGCCTGGAGACAGAAAGTCGTAAGTGCTTCCCCTGGGCGGGCTGAAGACTAGGGCTCCCCGACCAGCCCGTCCCTACAGGCCCCAGGCAGGCACTGGCTGGAGAGCTGAGACAGGGGCTCCCTTCCTAACCCCAGGACAGGCCAAGGCTGAGCTGGCCCGGAAGAAGCGCGAGGAGCGGCGGCGGGAGATGGAAGCCAAACGCGCCGAGAGGAAGGCGGCCAAGGGCCCCATGAAGCTGGGAGCCCGGAAGCTGGACTGAACCGTGCGGTGGCGCTTCCCGGCCGCGGAGAGCCCGCCCCACAGATGTATTTATTGTACAAACCATGTGAGCCCGGCCGGCCCGGCCAGGCCATCTCACGTGTACATAATCAGAGCCACAATAAATTCTATTTCACACCCCCCTGTGTCGGGCCCAGTCTAGCCCGTGGGAGGTGGCTGGGGTCTGGTGCCGCGCTGTGCAGCCCGCGCCCACGTCAGACGTGAACATCAATTTGCTTCGAAAGCCAAGGATAAAGAGGCACGATCTGATTTATCAGTTTCTAGGAAACACCCTCTGGGAGGAAGGCAGACAGCGCCCGCCGGGGACCTTACAACCGCCCGCCAACCGGGTGGGGCCGGTAGGGGCGCCGCGGGTCTCAAGGCGCAGGGAGGGTCTGCGGGCCCCAACGTCCCTGGGTCCGAGCCCCAAGTCGGGGCAGAAGTGAGGCCGAGCTCGCAGAAACCCCTCAGTGATCACCGAGGTCTGGGCCGAGGGCGGTGTCAGCGTCGGCGCTGGGGAACGCAGGCCCCGTGCGGGCGGCTGCGCGCGAAGCCGGCTTTGCAGACGCAGCGGAAGGAGCCGCTGGTGTTCACGCAGCGCTCGCTCTTGCACAGCAGCCCACGCTGGTTCAGCTCTCGGCACTCGTCGATGTCTGCAGGTGGGGCGACAGGTGCGGCTTCGCTGAGCCTCCAGGCGGCTCCTCACCACCGGCCCCTCCCCTGCCCCACCCCAAAGCCCCGCTCACCCACGCAGCGGGCACGGGAGGCGTCGAGCTGGAAGCCGCCGGGACACTCGCACACGGCGCCGCCTGGCCGCGGCACACAGCGGCCACTCACGCAGCGACACTCGTCCGAATCCTCCTCTGAACTGTCCTCATCTGCATGGCCCAGAACAATACGGCCTTCAACACTGACCCCCGGCCAAAGGCTACCAACCCCGCCACAGCCCGCCCCGGCAGCACTCACCTCTCGGGGGCTTCCCCAGCAGCAGGGGGCTCGTGTCCCAGAAGGAATTGCTTTCGCTCTGCGATGTCGGGCACTGGGACCCTGGGAGGAGCAGAGCTGGTCAGCGACGCTGGGTCCCCAGGCCCTGGCCCCCATCCTCGCTCCTGGCCAACTCCTCCCCGACTGCCTTACCCGCTCCGCGCGGCGGGCACGGGCGGCACTGGGCGCCCCAGCCGCGGCCCTGGCGGCAGCAGCAGTCGTCGAAGGTAAGGGCAGGCCCGGCCTGGGGGCCCGCGCACATGCCGTCCTCTCCGCGCTGACTCCAGCACACGTCGCGCCGCTCCGGGGCGCGCTCTGTGGACAGCACCTGGCATCAGGGAGGGGCCCAAGGCAGGGACCGCCCGCCTCCACCCCACACCACCAGCGCGGAAGCCACATGACGGACAGGGCCCTGGCCGACCCTCGCCCTCACCGGCCGGGCTCTCGGGGAGCTGGCAATCGCGGCCGGAGGGCCCGGGCACCCAGGGCGGGCGACACTCGCAGCGGTAGGAGCCCGGCAGGTTGACGCAGCGGCCAGGGCGGCAGGCTGCCGGGTCCTGACACTCGTCCACGTCTACGAACAGCGAGGGGGTGGGTGGGAGCCGTCACAGCTCGGCCCGGGCCCCGCCCCTCCCGCGTACCCCACTCCCCGGCCCGGGCCTCACCCATCTCTTCCGGGCTCAGGCACTGGCGCTGCGCAGGACTGTACTCTGCTGGGGGCGTGCAGGCACAGCGGTAGCCGCCGCGCGTGTTCTCACACACTCCGTTCCGGCAGTTGGACTCGTCCAGGCATTCGTCCACGTCTGCAGGGAGGAAAAGCGTGGGTGGTAGGGGCAGGCCCGGGATGGGCGGGGTGGCGCGTGTCTCCTTGCCGCTTCCCCACGGCCGCCAGGGGGCTGAGCTCACCCACGCATTCCAGCAGGTTCCCGTCGTAGTAGAAGCCCTGCTTGCAGTAGCACTCGTAGCCAGGCTGTGTGTTCACGCACTTGCCCTCCTTGCAAATCTCCGCCCCGAACAACATGCACTCGTCGATGTCTGACGGGTGACAAACAGTGGCCGCTCCGGTCCCGCAGCCGCGGCCGGAAGGCGTGGGCTGGGCTCACCACTGGAGCGAAGCCATCCCCGCGGGGCTGGGGGTGGGGCCTACCAGAGGGGCGGGGCCGGTGAGGAAGGGTGGGGCTTACTAGGCGCGGGCAGCTGACCCAGCGAGCCCCGGCGGGATACGCGTGATCCCAGCCCGGGGTGAGTGAGTGCGGGGCGGGCGGAGCGGCGGGGCGCTTACCACGGTGGGCTGGGATGCCGTAGTTGACGATGTTGTTGTCCTGGGTGTAGCCCTTTCCGTCTGGGCAGAGGCTGTGGAACTCGGCTGCGGGGGCAGGGCGGCCGTGGGGAGGGAAGGGGCAGGACTGAGCGCGCGCGTGGGTTTAGGGCTGCAGCCCGCCGCCTATTTCCCAACTGCCAGGGGGCGCCATTTCCCACATTTGGCTTCCAGAGGAAGAAACTGAAGATCTGGGAAGGGACCTGCCCGGCTCCTGACCTGAGCTGTAGACTGGGCAGGGGTAGATTTCGCAGTGGTCGCCCCAGCCGGCCCCCAGCGAGCAGCAGCACTCCTGCTGGGTGACGTTGGTGGCCAATACGCTGTCGCAGAACACTGTGTCATCGAAGTTCAGGTAGCACTCCTTCTTGTGGTGGGGCTGCTCCACCTCTGAGGGGTGGAGGGCAGCTCAGGGTCGTGCACAGACCCCCTTGGCCCTGTCCACCCTGCCCACCCACCACAGCTCTTTCCCCCCACCTTCCCTGGCTCCCCTCAGTCTCCTCCTGAGAGCTGGCTTTGTTCTCAACGTGGTGTTCTGGGCCCTTCATGGTCTGGCCCCACCAGACTCCCCCAGACAAAAGGATTTCTTCCGGTTCCCCAAATTCAGGAGGGTGAGGCCAGGACACATCTCTGAACCCCAGCTGCAGCTCAGGGGAGTTGTCCAGTCCAAGGGAGGCGCTGGGAGGATACTCACCCTCACAACCGTGCTGGTCCTGGGTGGGAGTGAAGCCCTCATCGCAGACACACACATAGGAGCCCTGAAGGTTCTTGCAGGCCCCGTGGGGAAGGCACAGGCCTGGGTCCTGGGTGCACTCATCTATGTCTGGGGGGCAAGAGTAGCGCAGATGGAACCCCAGCCCCTCTTTCCCTGGGGCTGCACCTCAAGGGCCTCACGCAAGTTCAGAACCTGAATTTCCACTTTGGTTTCAAAGTATGTACAGCAGGAAGTCTGCTGAGCCTGTGCATGTGTCTGAATGTGCATGTGAACATTCACTGCTGTCCTTCATAACACCTTCAGTGGCTCCCACTAACCTTACAAGACCTAAAGGTATCGGAAGCCCAAATGGAAAAGCCTCAAATGCCACTAAACTCAGCTTGGCATTTGAGGCCTTTCGAATTGAGCTTCGGATACCTTTAGGTCTCATCACGCCTTACTCTAGACCACCTTCCACTCCCCAACTCTGTGCTCAGGGCACCCTCCCCTCCTCTGTAAACGTAACTAGCTCCTTCCAGATCTCTGTGCTTTGCAATTACTGCTCTTTGGTCCTGGAATGACTTCTCGTGCCTTGCCTTTCCCATGCCTAGGGAACTCCTACTTACGTTTTGGTCCAGTTCAGTCCAGTTCAGCATTCACCTCCCCATTGCAATTAATCATTAGTCCATACCTTTCTTGACACCCAGGACCCTGAACTGTCAGAATCAGTTTACATGTCGGCCTCCCCTAGCTGGGAGCCCTGGGTGATTGCTGATTACCTAGTACAAAGCACAGAACCTGGAAAATAGTAGGTGCTCAATAAACTCTTTTTTTTTTTTTTGAGATGGAATCTCACTCTGTTGCCCAGGCTGGAGTGTAGTGGCGCAATCTCGGCTCACTGCAATCTCCGCCTCCCGTGTTCAAGCGATTCTTCTGCCTCGGCCTCCCGAGTAGCTGGGACTACAGGCGCGTACCATTACGCCCGGCTAATTTCTGTATTTTTAGTAGAGACAGGGTTTCACCATATTGGCCAGGCTGGTCTCAAACTCCTAACCTCATGATCTGCCCGCCTCAGCCTCCCAAAGTGCTGGGATTACAGGCATGAGCCACTGCCCCCAGTCTGAGCCACTGCCCCCAGTCTGAGCCACTGCACTCAGCCTAAACTTTTGTTGGATGAACGCATGTATGGGTGAGTTGATGGGGAAGACCAATACATTAATATCTGTAAAGAGCTTAACAGAGTGCCTGGCACACTGTAAGCACAACAATAGCACTAACTGTCATGTTTACTGTGATCATTGTTATTCCAGGTGAAAGACCGGAAGGCTGAGCAGATGGATGGGTGGGTGGGTGGAAGGATGGATGAAAAGATGGATGGATGGAAGGAAGGAAGGAAGAAAAGAAGAAAAGGAAGGGAGGGAGGAAGGAAGGAAGGAAGGAAGGAAAGAAGGAAGGAAGGAAGGAAGGAAGGAAGGAGGGAAGGAAGCAAGGAGGGAAGGAAGGAGGGAAGGAAGGAGGGAAGGAAGGAATAGAGAAAGGCCACAGTGTATCTAGGGAATTGCTGCTCCCTGTCACATCCCTCAGGAACTCTCAGCCAGTCCCCCATACCTTGGCATTTCCTGCCACCCACCAGCCGATGCCCCTGGGGGCAAAGACATCTGTAGGAGCCATTGGTATTGATGCAGTCACCCCCAATGCAGGCTGCAGGGAAGTCACACTCATCAATGTCTGTAGGGGATGGAAGGGGTGGAGACTCTCAGGGGCTGATCACCACCCCCGGACTGAGGCAGCCAGAGATTTCCCCCAGAGCCCTGGGTCAGTCCCACGCCTCCATGCCCCAACTGAGATCTGGATTAGGACTGGACCCTGGGGGGTGGGGGTCCTGGGGTAGGGAGGCACAGGTCAGCACCCCAGCTCTAAGATCCCTCACCCTCGCAGTGGCTCCGGTCCCTGGACAGATGGTAGCCAGAGAGGCACTGACACTGGAAAGATCCTGGCGTGTTGGTGCAGATGCCATTGTCACACACGTCCCCAGCCTCACACTCGTCCACATCTGAAGGGCATAGGGGGTGTCAGAGGACCAGGCTGGGAGGTCTTGGGTTTCTACTACTCTTTTCTCACTTCTACGCATGGCCTGGAGCACCAGAG